TCACCCCTTATGTACCTGTCATGTGATGCACCCCTTATGTACCTGTCATGTGATGCACCCCTTATGTACCTGTCATGTGATGCACCCCTTATGTACCTGTCATGTGATGCACCCCTTATGTACCTGTCATGTCGCTGTACGTGTCGTGCATATATACCTGGTCAAGAGCCAGCTTGAGTTCAGCGGACTGTTGTGTACCGGCCAGCACCAGGTCCCTGCTGCTATCGTGCATGCTGAGATCGTTGATGTACAGACCCTTCCTCAACATGGCGTCCAAATCTGAGAGACTGATGGAAAATCGACCGGGAGATAACGTAAGGACTTACACGGTGCTTAAGCGGTGCGCCACACGAGAGCAGTGCAGTTTGAAAGCAGCTTACAACGCTGTCAATAACCCAAACACTTTCACACGTGAGCGGGTGTATGACGATTGTCGTTCCGTCGAAACCCAGCAATGAAGAAACACAAGAGTAAGGTTTTGCTCACTCTGAAAAACTCCCCCTTGGGAGTTGTTGAAACCAGCGTAAACGTACATAGTGTCTATAAAGTCATCGCTCTTCGCGACGCGGTGAAGTGGTGGCGAGATGCGATGATGAGGAAGCGATGACGAGTGCACGTGGAACTATTCAGAAAACGCGCTACTTTCCTTATATATTCGATTTGAACGCGTGGAACAATGGATCGTGTTTAGTATAGTTACTATAGTATAGTATCGTCGTTATATAGTGGTACAGCTTACTGTTTAACTATTCATTGATCAAATATTTATTACAACAAATTAGGCATTTGATTAAATGACATGCACAAAACTCATTTCAACTATATCACGTGTAAAGGGAATTGATTAGACCTACGGCCATCGGAAATTTTCGAGTGTGACAGATATGACAGCTATTTTCCAACGTGTTCACCAAAATGTCAAATTATAGAATACATGACGATGGAAATGTATCTATTTCATTAACTACTTTGTGCAAGGGTATCAATAATTCTATATATCGTCTCACACGTACACATAATAGAAAGAACAGGATTTCTAGAGGGGTCACACGTACACATAA